GGACCCGATCCCAGGACCCTGGGATCATGACCTGAGCTGAAGGCAGTCGCTTAACCAACTGAGCCACCCAGGCGCCCCAAAATTGGCCTTTTAAAAGGGAGATTATCCTAGGTGGCCTAATCAAATGATCTCTGTGATAGGCAGAATTCCGAAGTGACCCCAGCCCGGCTGGAGGGCAGCAAGGGGATGGGGGTGGGGTTATCACGAAGGGCCAGAGGCAGCTCAGAGCGGGCTGGGGGTGGGGGGAACAGGCGGACACTCAGCTTTGACCACTTCGCAGCGCGTTAGCCCAGTCTCGCGGGAACTCGCAGAACTTGCCGGAAGGGGACAGAGAGTCCTCAAACGAGCTACGTTTGGATGCCCTGCCTGCGGAAGCCTCACGTCCCCCACACCCGGACAGGGTATGGAGGTTCTGGCTCAACCTACCTTTCAAGCAGGCCCGGTCAAGAGTTAGGCAGAATTGGGTGGTGTGCGCTGTGGAGCCGCGGCAAGCTGAGGGCAGGGTGCGCTGAGGCACCGGCTGTGGTCCAATGGGCGGTGGCTGGCCTGGACTGGCCCTAGCGAGTTTGGGGGAGCAGTCGTGCTTGCACTGCAATTGAGGCTTTCTGGAATGTACCTCCACTGACAGCCAGAAAGGAAATGGGGACTTCAGCCTTACAAGCAGCAGAGAACTAAATTCTGCCAACAACCGGAATGATCTTAGAAGCAGATGCTTCCTCAGAGTATCCAGGTGAGAACCAACCCAGCTAACAACTTATTTCAGCTTTCGAGGACAGCGATCCTGCACCCCAACTATGCTGTGCCCAGACTTGTGCCCTACCGAACTATGAAGTAGTGAGTGTTGTTTTAAGCTACTAATTTTGTGGTAATTTGTTACACAACAGTACGGGGCGGGGAGGAATTGAAGAGATGCGTATTTCCATACACGTTAACGAGAGTATTGCCTTAAATCAACGGAGGATAAAATAGAAGAAAAGAGGGAGGGAGAAATGGCATGTGAAAATGCATACTAAAGGAAAAAATAGCAATATTGGTTTGATAATGGAAAGTCATTGAGAGAAAATTTGAGTGAAAATCAGGGGAAAGGTAAATCAGAAAAAAGAAAACGATACACATCCATTTTGAAGAGAACAAAAGGTTATTACTCTAAATGCACAGTCTATGTACAAGTAGAAATTTATACAGATTGAAGAGAAAATGTTAAGACTATGGATAAAATTGTCTGGAACTCTAATTTTTAAATTGTGACTTTCCTCCCATTGCCACAAAGACTGTTTTTCCTTGCTTTTCAGGGGGCTCTTACCCAACTAGTAGAGATGTTGACTCTGGATATAGATTATCCTCCACATCAAAGCCATCCCTTACTATATTTTAACTTTGGAATATATCCAATATTTGCACATCAAAGTGTTAATAACCAATGATTGGTAAATGCATTAAATTCATTGGGGAGATTTTACATTTGCTAGAACAACATGCCTTAAATCTCAAATTATTAACCATGTCTTTTTAACCCTCATAACAGTCTATTTGGCAAGAATTTTTGTACTGTATGGTGTTAAGAGAAAATATTCTCTGGATATCTCATTTCTATACATCTTGTTAGAGGAGACATTGGCAACTTTTGCTCCAGGCTATCTCTTCAGGAATGTTTATATAGTGAGCAGCTTTGAAAGATAAAGACAGTATCTCCTTCCAGAGTAGAGGATGAGGAATTTTGCTATGTAATACAGTAAAAATAATGTCTCCCTCTGGAGAAAAATCTATGAAAGTTTGCTTAAAGCCAAATATAAAAGATCAGGGCCTCCTGATCTCTGGATTCTTCAGTTGTGAGGCAAAGCCACTGCATTTGAAACTTCTCCCTGCATCACTTGGTCACCCTCATGAGACTTTGGAGCAGAAGGTATCTTTGTAAACATGAAACCCATGTTGGGTGGTGTGCTGGGTGTAATAAAGCCTCCTTGTCTCTGTCTCACAAGTCTCATGTCTTCTGCCAGCATCCATGAAATTGTTGGAAGGGTAACTAGTTAGCAGCAAACAGGGTAAATTTTAAACCATTTATAATGCTTGACAGAATTATTGACCTGCTTACCCCTGAAATTACACAAGGTGAGAAACTTTGAGACAGAATATAGCAAAAACTTAGAAAACAAAAGGACGTAATTTAGGCCAAGAAAAGAGACTAATTTACCAACCACCAGGATTAAGATGTGATATTATGTAACACAGTGAGACAATGAATCGGGGAAACATAATAAAAAATGTAATTACAATTATAAATTTGCATAAGTATATCAGTTTTTCTCAGGGCCTTTGCTGAATCCCACCTTATTTTCTGACAAGCTTAATTTTGTTTTTGTTTTTTTTAGATAGTGTCTCATTAATCACAGAAGCTAGTAGAAAATCTTATAGTCCCATGGAGTGAGAAAATTAGCTCAAGTCTACGGATTGCTTTAAGCGCCTTCAACCAAAAGCTGTCGTTCCAATAGATAGGGGTTAGTGTGTAATTTGTTTATTTTTAATAGATGGGAGAGAATTAATAAAAACAAAACAGATAACACCATAGCTCCACTTAAGTATTTGAAAGCAATTAGATCATTTTTGTAAATGAGAAAGCAAAAGGGAAAATGCACCTTAGAAAATAGAATTTTGAAATGGCAAGTTGAAAAAAATGATTCAGCGGTTCAGCCAATTAAATATTCAAGAAGGCTAAATATACTTCAAATTGGAAGGCCTGCAGAAAGTCTAAATTTTCTAAATTACTGTTCTAAACTCTCTTCCTCAGACTATACGTATACACCATTAACGTATCTTGCAATTCCCATAGCAAGGTCTTAAGTATTGTTCTGCCCATCGCTGGCAATGTAATTTCTCTTTCCCTATTCTACTTTCTTCAAGTCTGCATAATCTTTAAGTTCCATCTAAAAACTATGGAAATCTGGGATAGTTTGGCAGTTCCAACCAATGATGTGCTGGAGCTGGCTTGCACCAGCTCATAAAAGCTGATTGTGCATCTCTTCCCAGCATTGTTTTATGATTTCATGTTGGCCATGGTGGGAGTATTAACACTATGGATATTGGCAGATATTACAAGTATGAGCTTTTTTTTCACCACAGAGAACTGATTGTTAAATATTTTATCTAGCATATTATTGATTCTAGTCTATAGCAATCATTACTTTTAGACAAAGTGTTGCAAACTCTTCTGCCTTTAGATGTAAATGAGTAAAATAAGTTAGTGTAGTTAAAACTAACACCAAGTTTATGGTTCGGAAAATATGATGGATGATGGTGTTAGAATTTCTGTTCATATGAAAAGACTTGCTACTACTGGAATCCAGATAATTATCGCCTCGTGGAAAGCTGGCCATGTATATCCACATTTTTGGTTATATGTTTGTTTATTTTAAAATTTATGACATTATGTATTGATATAGTTTCAAATATAAAAAAAAGTGCAAAAGTAGGGCAGAGAAATTCCATTACTTTTTAACCAAATTTATCAATTGTTTATATTTGGTTTTCTTTATAAATCTGTTATATATGTTTGTATATGTATTATGTGTATTTCAGTAAATTGGTAGAATGACAAATTTTTTTTTTCTGATCCATTTAAAAGTAAGTGGAGACACTCCTTCCCTTTACCTCTAAATTTTCACTGTTATTTCCTAAGAACACTATTGTTATATTACACAAACACAGAACAGCTATCAAAATGAAGAAACTTAACATTAATTCAATATTATCAAATCCATATTCCAATTTCTTCAGTCATGACAAGTATGTCCTTTATAGTTATTTTGTTAATTTTTTTCTGTAGTCTGAGGTCCAATTCAGTGTCAGGCATAACATTTAGTTATATTAATCTAGAAATTAATTTGTTAATCTAGGAACATTCAGTAGCATTTCTTGTCTTTTTCTGGACCTTGACTGTCTTTAAGAATGTGTGCTTTTAAACAATGAATCATGGAACACTGCATCAAAAACTAATGATGTAATGTATGGTGATTAACATAACAATAGAATAAAATAAAATAAAATAGTCACAAGTCATGTGACAGCAGAAAAAAAAAGAATGTATGCTTTTTGTTTTCAAGAATGAACCTCAATTTGTGTTTGTTTGATAGTTTATGGCAGGAAGATTACTGATTGATATTGTGTGTACTTAAGCTACTAGATTTATCATTTATTGATGATTCTGTTGCCTTGTATCATTAGTTATGTCTTTCAATATTATATATATATACATATATACAAATATATATAAATATATACATATATACATATATAAATATATATACACATATATACATATATATAAAAATATATAATATACACACTCTTAGGGGGAAAAGTATCCAATATTTTACTATTAAAAATGTTAGTTATAGTATATATATATATATAGTTATAAAATGTTCTCTTCTTAAATCACATCAGTAACTTGAAATTGGTTGGAATATTTTCACCATAGACACTGGAAGTGCTACAGTATAAGCTTTTATCCTCAACAACCTGACAGTTAAATGTTTACCAGTATGCCACTGATTCTATCCATTAGGTTGTTTTTTTTTTTTAACTTTTTTCCTTAAAAATTTTAAGGAATTTTTAAACATTTTATCAAACTTTTTTGGGGACCCAATTCTTTCTCTCTTTTCTTGTTGGTAGTAATAACATGTATGATGGAAAATTTTGTATTTCCCTTGGTTCACTAAGATTCTGTTTTCCCGGGCGCCTGGGTGGCTCAGTTGGTTAAGCGACTGCCTTCGGCTCAGGTCATGATCCTGGAGTCCCGGGATCGAGTCCCGCATCGGGCTCCCTGCTCAG